TACATTAAGCACTATTCTCTATTTGAAATTGGAGAGCTTAGAAATCTGCGAGTATAATCTATACTATTAAACGCAGGAAGTCCTTTAAAAACACTCAACAAACGTTTCAACGTCAATCTGAGTAAATGTGATTCGTTTCATATGTAAAGTGTTAATTTTAACGTTTGATAGTTTGCAATTTTTTTCTGTTCGAAAAATGTTACTTTGTAACGCTTTCTCGACCTGTATTTCTACAACAGACTGCAGTACACATACCTTATGCGGAAAGAAAAAAATCCTTTCCGCATCTAGCCACTTACATTCAACCTCTTGAAAAACGAGGGAATGAGAGTAAAGGTACTCCTTACAGGTGACCTTGTTTTCGTCATGATAAACCGAGAAATAAAATTGAATCGTTCATTAACATAACATATATTCACATGGAAACGTTACTATTTACCGGTGTAAATATATCGTAGGTTTGCACAAACGATATGCGTACAAACACGGATGTTTACTAGGAGATGGCGCCTGAGCGTCAACTAACGCAGGAAGGCGTCGCGGCGGCCTCGCTCGCCTATTTCAGACGCCTATCTCTTTATTACTTGAATATCAATCACTACATTCCAAGACTAATATCGTCGTAATTAACCTTGTATGAACAAACTACGTTATATATTGCGGACTGATACAGGCTAAACAATGGAAAATATCTTGTTCACGTTGTGTTAAATTGTAATTTAATTAAAATAATTTGTTTTTCTATATTTATATGGTCCAGATAATGTGCCAGCTGTTATGTGGCCAGTGTAATTAGGTTATAAGGATGATATGACTAAAACTACGATATCCACGATCCACGTCAATACAATCCAACACTGATCGAATGATAATCACAAATGCTTCTTTTATTTGCACAGCTTGAAACGTGTTATGCTAATCAAAATTACATTCCACCATAGACAGAGAAATTACAGGGCTGTTGAGATGTTCGATGTTTTATCTACTTCGCAAATGCGGGTTAAAATACGATTATTATTTTAAACCGCTTGAGAAAAGAGTATGGTTACATTGGGTATGTTAAATATATTTCTGTGTAAAGCGGGAGAATGTTTCCGCAATTAAATGTAATGTAAAATGTTCCCAGATGTATGTGAGATAGGTAAGTTGTGTGCGGTGTCCTTGCACGAGATAAAGGCAAAGCTGTTATTCAGGGAATGTCGGCGGCTGGAGCGTGCGGCGGTCGCGGCCGCGCGCCGCCCTTGACCTGCACCGCTTCCGTTGCACCGCCCGCCTTCGCTCCCGCTCTATACAAATACTTGATTTATCTCTTCATTCCAGTAAATAAAAGAATAGAAAATGAGCAGCCTCAGGGGAATCAAAGTTTCCATTGTCTACGCTGACTATTGCTAGAAAAAAAATGTTCTGTATAACAATCGTTTGCTATTTTAATATCTGCCTGGAAGGTCACTCGGATGTAGACTAACGGCTATTATAATACATTTTGCCAAGAGTCAAGTGCAAGCTGTGCCCGCGTAATACAACACGCGGAAATAATGTTCTATTTTGAACCAGTTCAATGTATACTAAATAATGTACCGACACACTTCACCGGTACATGAGCAAGAGTAGCAAGCTTAATGTTAATTCATTTGATGTATGTAATTTCGCAACATTCTGCAATTTGCTATTAGAACAAGAATGACGAAAGAAAACATTCGAGTTATTCCTGGCAATGGTTTGAAAATATTTAGGTGACTAATGTCTATTTATATTAGTTTTTGTATGTGGAAATATGGGTCAATTTCGTAATTTGACGGGTCTACGCCTTTGGAATTAGATACAATTACGACGCACTCTTTGGAATATCTATCCGTTTGTTGGTAATGAACGTGAATCTTGTTGGATCGCCGCCAGCGCTGCTTATTCGTTATGAAGAGTAACGACTCGTCGGTACACAAGCAGCAAATTGTCCAAGTTAAAGTGACAGCGCGTTGTATTTCGAGCGGTTTATTTTTCAGCGTGACGTTATTATCCGCTGGGAGCGCGAGCTGCGACTCGTCACCAGTCACTGTCGTACTGGTGCTTCACGTCGCACGTAGCACTTCGCCAGACAAATTCCAACGCTGACAAAATGTCGACCTACTTTACTCCATTTCATTAAATTATGTAATATATTTTTGGCAACTACGAAGCAATTTTTAAACTTTCTTTCACACTTCGCTTTTGAAATAAAATTATAATATGTTATACGTTTCACAATATATCAGCTGCTTGAAAAATACATTGTTTCAATCTTGAAATAAATTGAAATGCTGTAAAAGTATTTTGTTTGTTCCATCTAAATCTTAACTTGGATTTATTTTAGTAGTGCAATGATTCTTAGCACACTTTTCAACTGTACTGCTTTATCGATTGTCTGATACATATTATTGTAGAACAACATGGTTTCTGCTTTAATTTAAAATTTAAATAATTTCAAAGAATGAAACGATTGATTTGATTTACAATTTAACTTCGCCATCATTTAAGTTGCCCGCATTTAAGTAATCTACTACATATGTACACTAATTATAATGTTGTATTATCTACTGGTGTTATGGCAATAGAAGTGAATAGCAAATATAATATGCAGATAACTTTTATTGTTTACGACGCCACGAACACAGATAAGAAAATTTTATACTGAAGCAAAATTTTCCTGTTTTCTTTATAAAATTAGAACTCCAATTGCGGTCGTTACTTTTAGCTAATAGTTTCGCGGCCGTTCTACTGCGCCTACGTATACATTTTTCTAGCAAATTTTATAGAAGAACTGTGTCAGTGTGGTCGTGTTTAAGGCATTAAAGAACTTATCAAACGATGTGTAAATAGGCCGAACCGTCAATGCGTCATTTCAATTCATCTCGCAGAGAGTATTTTGAACGTGTTTGCGGCTGTTTCGCGTGAGTTTGCAAGGAATTCGGAACATCAAGGAAACGAAGCCGACGAAATCTCTTGACATTGTGTTACAACCGTCGTACGGCACACTTTTGTCCTTGAGGCCAGATATTTACATATTTCGTCACCGCTGTTAGAAACACGAGTTCTTTTTGAGACAAAACATCGTCAGTAGAAGCTTAAATAAATGTTGTTCAAAATAACCATATTCGTTGGAGATTTTCGATTTGTTTTCTAGATTTAAAACCGATAACTGATCTGGGATACCTAAGTTTCATATATGTTTACGATAAGCCGCGTTTAAGAACATGATCGGTCTTACATAACGCCTCAGCGAACGACCTCTGAGAGAGGGTGGCTTGGCCAAGGGCGACTGAATCGATCCGATCTGCGGCAGCCTCCCTCCTTCCCCGGAGCGGAGTTCTCTCGCGCGACGATCTCCTCTCCCGCTTTGTTCAGCAAACGTCGCTATCAGCTGCAAACAGTCCTTCGAGCTATAGAAATATGTAGTGCATTGTACATATTGAACTCGTCTTGTCGATAAGAATAAACTAAGTCGTGTCTCATAAATAAGTTATGAATCTTGCTTTGTTTTCGCATTCTGTTTTTACTTATATGAATGCTAATGTTGTTTTGCTGCATTAACTTGTATGGATATTTTATGCAGACACGATTTCCTTTTCAGTTAGTATTTAACCAGATAATTATTTACTCTCATAATACACTTTATCCTGCAGTTATACGAAATGCTGCAATTTTGCTTAAGCAATGGTCCATGAAACCTGCACCGAGGTTAGTCGCTAGGAGTATGTAATTGTACATTGACCAACACAAGCTGTTAATTAAAAATGTAAAATAACCTGACTTGCTTTAGTAGCTAAAAGTAATTATCCTCAGCTTTGTGTTTGGTCTTGACAATACCTTTGTATTTTAATTACCTTCGTAGAAGACTAATTAAAACAAAAGCTAGATGGCCGGTATTCTGTATACGACTGTACTTTTTTTTTACAAAATAAAAGGAATAATATGTCGAGTCAAAATGTGTTGTATGAGAAGTGGGCAGAGATTGAAATTATAAGTCACACTTTTCTAAGCAGTTAGGAAAGGCAGCAAAGTTATTAATAGATACGCACATTTTGGGTTTAGAAATCTATTTAAAACATACAAAGTTAGACATGAAGTATGGTTCGTATGTTATTTGTTGAAGGAATGCGTAAATAATAGAATTCCATGCGGGCCGCGGGCGCCGCAGATGAATGGGAATCTCGTGGCGCCCAGCCGGCAGACCGTCACTCTCCGCCTATCGCCTATTAATAGACCCATCTGACTCGTTCCGCGACGCTTTTACTTCGCGTTAAAGTTTTACTACGTATACCGCACGCTCACGATGCATAACAAATGTACTGAGAAACACTACATCAACGCTGTATCCGGATCGGAAACTTTTACGTACACGTAACCATAAGTATTATTTACGTCTACATATACATATATACGTAGAAATATTTTGTCCAAGACATTAAAAGTAATGATAATGTAAGTACCTACATCTTCCAAGAACTTGTTTGACGTGGAAGGAGGGATCAGTGGCCGTTTTAAATCCAATGCAATTATTGTCTGTGCCGCCGTCGCCGGTACCAAAAATAGCCCTGATGGAGTCCCGTTGCCTTATAAAGCAACTTGAGTGACAGCACACGTCATGTGCTCGGTAACCGGGCATTAATTTTAAAATTTATTATAGATCCCGTGTAGGGATATAGAAGTACCTATATGTCATTCAGTTTCTTTATATCAAGGTCAAAGGATTTCCTGTTCCTATAAATTTTTAAACTGAATTCATTGCTAGAAGACTTTTTAAATTAAGATATCGCAAGAACAGCCCACTACGTGAGAGGATAATTTATTTTTTACTAGGTTAAGGCTAAGCTTAGCATAATTTAGATACGACATAAGTACATGAATATATTCATTCATAGTACAAGATATTTGTTTTGAATAGTTCATGGCCATTTGAGTACTGTACGTTACCGTGCACGTTTAACGTTAGTCACGCAATAAAGAGATCCATCTTTTGTTTTCAGAACCAAAGAAAGACAAATTGGAAAATGGTGGCGAGCTGGTGAGGCCCGAGCGGCCCAACTCCTTGACGGCGGGCAAGCTGCCGAGACGAATATGTTATCAAGGAGATAGTAAGTGAAATGTTATCCTATTTAGAATTACCCTGTTTGAACATTAAAGGCATGTCCCACTACTGGCTGATATAGGCTCAGATAGCTTAAAATGACGTCACTGTCAATTAAGAGAACAAAATCCGATATTTCCATCTTTACACGTTCGATTGTTATCAGACAATTTACAATTTGGTGGGACATGCTCTTAAACTTCATAAGTTATAAATAGGTGCTATTTTACCACCCTCGAGTACAATATATGAATACTTAGTATCTTTAAAAGCGCCTCCAACCACGAGCAAAAGCTACTAATTTCCGAGGTATTGATCGTTCAAATTATGTGCACAGTTCGTATTGTGTACAATACCAAATATTTCATTGAATTGTGGAGCATTGCAATATAACCTTAACATTCGACATTAAAGATCGTATTCCCAGTGTATGAAATGTCTAAAATGCCTTCTAAAATTTAAATCGCAAAATTATACGCAGTTTAGACCGACTCATAATATGAATAAATAATAAGAATTAGGACCATAATGTTGGTAGATATTCAAAACACCCTTGAATTATAAATAAGGGTCACGAAGTTATTTCATGAAAACAAATGGTGTATGCTTCAGGCAGAAAATAAACCAAGCCAACCTTATTTGTTCATTTCCGTAATATGAGCCTTGTTTCTGTTAACCTTATTAAAGTTTTGTCATATTCTAAAGATAAAAGATAAGCTTATTTCAAGATTTCTTTATATAATCTCCAGGATTTTTATTTTTAGGTTAGTTGGGGCTTTTGTAAATTATTAATGAATGTTTTTACCTTTAATATATGATAAAAAGACATCTTTGACTTTATTGGTAAACGGAGAACTTAATGGATATCTTCAACGGAGAAATTATAGGGTGTTCATTCTTAGTACTAGATAAAACAGTACCTATAAATGGTTCCCTCGTAATCAATTAAATAATTTGTACTATATCAAAATAGAAGTAATTTTTATGAATGAATGAGATAAACTGTTGAAAACGTCAGTTGGACAAGGTCACTTGTAATTAATTATCATAACCAGGGTCATGCGCATGTCGAGGCTGACATTTGTACGCGATGTGGTATGCAACCTTTGTGAATAAACTCAGAGACAACCTGTTTTTGTTGAATTTGTTGTATTACATAATGTAGAAGTAATTCCTTTATTACCGATTAGATGTTCCCGTGCGGCTTCATCCGCGTGTAATTATAAGATTATAAGAATTTTATTTTATTGCTTACATTAGTCAAATCATCAATTGCAAATGTCAAAATGGCATGACATGATGACAAACCCTGGCAATTATTTTCCTTTATGTTGGCAACTTGTAGTTTATGGTCCCTTTCTCACATGAATGTGTTTTTCCAATTTATTTATCCCCTAAGTTTAATAGCGTGAAAATATATAGCCTAAGCGTGTCGTAAGAGTATGACTTTATTTAAGACAGATTTATTTAAAAATATGCTGTGATTGCTGACATCCTACACCACAAAGTAGTGTGTGTTTACGTTTTATTATATTAGTATAGAAATATAGATTACATAACAGCTTAGAAACCTAATCTATCTGGATTTTAATTAAACATTTTTTCTTATCGTAGTGAGCGGTTATGGGGGTGGGGGTGGGGTTGGTGGCGTGGGCATGGAGGGGGACAACTCGCAGCTGATGCTGTCCGACCTACCAGAGCCGCCTATCGCGGTGTCGGAGATCGGGCCCATCCCGCCGCCGCCCATGTTTAGCTCGCCCAGCCCCACGCGCCACCATCATCACCACCAGCATCAACACGCGCTCGCGCACCATCCTCTCTCTGACTGTAAGTGATCCTTTACTGTACTTAAACTATCTAGCGGCTTACAATGATACGAGATGCTACCCACAAAAAAACTAAGGGAATTAAGGGGTCAACGGATGTGAAAGTTGGATACATCCGAGCTATTCGTAACCACACGCACTTACTAGCAGCCAACACTAGCCTCCATAACGTTTGAACCTATAATGTCTTGTGCGTTACATTGTTATTAATATAATTTACAATAGTCGTAAACAGAACAAAGTTTAATATAGTAAGATACAAAGTCTAGGCATTCTCTATTTTAGAATTGTACCTGCATGATGTTTCGAGAAATAACAAATGAGTAATACAAGTATGAGTAACGGGAATTATAACTTGGCAACGTGTTGCATGTCGCGTGTCAATTAGGTATTCAACACAATAAATGTAAGGTGATACATCGGATAGCAACATATAAGCGTAGATTACAAGTTAATGCTATTGGCATAAGTGTAGTCTAATGTTTACAAAGAGGATTCCAAAGCTTAACTATGAGAATACACAAATGTTATATTATGTAGGATTATAATAGACGTAATATATTTTTGATTTGTAGCGTTAAATTACGGGAAAACTTGTGCAATCATACCTCATACTAATGGGAAAGTTTAGATGGATGGATGGATAGATGGATGGATAGATGGATGTTTGCCTAAAAAGCTGAACCGATTTAGATGAAATTTGGTATAGATGTAGAGGATAGAGTGAAAGAACACATTGGCTACTCACTTTTTTTATTCCACAAGGACGGAGTCGCGGGTGAAAGCTAGTATATTAATAATATAAATAGGTGTAGTATCCACTTTACATGCGTCTTCTCCTCCGTTGATTAAGGATATGCATCACATCTGCAATTGCAGTTGTATATGGGTAGCGATCACTTCGCTTTCTCGGCGAATTTAGGTGGCCGCTCACTCGTTTGCCACCTTATACCATAACGAAGGTTCTTTGTATCGTCCAGTGTCAAAGTACAAGAAAAGAAGTCTTTTATAAGATGTAAAATATACAGCAAAATGTGTTGGTTGAATTAGTTTTTTTTAAGATCTCGTTTTACGTGTTTTTTCATTGTGAGAAAACAATACTTTGCAACCGGTTGACCGATGTGCCCTCGCCCGCGCGGCTTCAGTAATTACGAGGCTGAGCGACCGTTGTGTACACGACTGCTAATTAAACCATCATATTGACGACAGAAATACTGCTTCAGATAAATGTGTACTAATCAATATTTATACTGAGAATCGGGTTAACAGAATAACATTTTTTTTTAATAGTAATTATTTCTACTCGAAATCGTCATAAGTCGCGTGAGATTATTTATTTTTATATTTTTAAATAGTAATATTCTGTGTAATAGTACTACTTGTGTGTTTTTAATTTTTGAATGAATGATGTCACAACTCTGTAGGTTCGTACAGTTTAAATTGGCAACGGACCTAATTACTTGCAATGTTTGTATGGCAGATTATTCGTTTAATATTAATTACGTTCTATTAATATCATTATGATTCGTCATATTTCACTGAAATCTCTGGCTTGCTTTCAAGCTTTAAAGGAAAATATTGATTTATTTTCATAACGGACAAATATTTATACGAACGTACTTTGAAGTGAAATAATACACCAACTCTTTGAATTAAATTGCGCGTGATGATACGAAGAGCAATGTGCGTTCATTCAGAATAAATGATATCATTTACATATATCACATTTACAAGGTCAATGGTATTTTATATACGTATAACGAAATGGAAACTCGTTTACCTAATACAAACAGAATACGCGCCATATTTTATAAAATAAATACAGAAACTAAAACACAACTATTTTGTTGACTTTATGTATTTTTCAAGCATGAGCGAGCATCACTAAAATTATATAGAGCGATTTATCCCAAACTTGAGTGGGCTTTGATTTAGTTAACGAAAACTGACAAATTCGGGAATCTCTTGGCTATCTTAAAAAGGCTGTTAGCTCGTGTAGTCGGTCTGTTTATTGTTTTAAGGTCTACTCAATATTCACTTTGTTCTCACCAGTGAGGCTCACAAATGATGATGAATGATAACGATGAGGCTTACAAATAAACGCTGTATAAAGTTAAACTTAGAAACAAATTGAGTATAAGCAAATATTAGTACAAATTTCACTTAGACTCAGTTAATTCCTAAGTTTAACTTTATGTCGCGTTTATTTGTATGGCTGTTAGAGTTTTAGAGTAACCATTGACCGCTATTGACTGGTCAGTTCGTCTTTGAAATTTGACTGTATAATATCGCTATA